CTTTAATAATTTACCTCCTCCCTTCCCTCGCCCTTTGTTAACCTTGTTGAACAAGCATCCTCCACCTAACCTCCTTCCCCCCCCCCTTTCCCGACTCTATCACTTCTATCACTAATTACAGAAAAACTTCAATAACGCTGAGTTTTAGATAACAGTTCTTCAAAAACATACCCAGTGTTATTACTAAATTTCTAGTTGATTTGGTTGCAAGAGTATTCTTTCACAAAAAAGCTGACCTATTAGCGCGAGCTTTTCTATTCACGAGCTTCTCCTCAGACTCTTTGAGGAGTGTGTGACCTCGACGTCGTTCCAATTGTGACGACATCACTTGACTGATAAGCCAGTAGCACACGGATGATATCAAAGCCGGAACACCAAACTGTGACAGCAGTACTGAAAGACCGTAGAGCCGACGACCCGCAGACCGGCCTGATTCCATCGCATCTGGCCTAAATCTTTCATCTTCAGTTATCAGTACTCCGAATCGATCTTTTGAGCATCGTAAATAACCGATCATCAATGATATTTTCATCATACTTTAGAGTCTAACTAATCTCTCGTCTTATTGGCTCGAAACTCTACAAGATGGTAGACTAAATATGTAGGATAAAAGGGTAATTGAATGGGATAATTTTCTCAGGCCAGCCATCTCGCCTGGTCTGAAAGGATGAGTTTCTATAGACACGTTCCAGCCTAATATCCAAACACTTGAGAAATTTTTTCCTGGAAACACTGGACGCTCCTTAGGTCACGGCGCGGCGTCGCGCAAACTTGCGGTGTGCAGCTGACGGCGCGATCATGCCGAAATTGGGACGAGCGACATTATTAACATGAACCAGCTGGAAAACAGACGGCGACGACGCGCCGTGACCTAACGATATCCCCAGCCAAAATCGGCATATACTACGCCGTCAAGGAAATTCTCAAGTAGATACAACCGCTATTTCCACGCCACTTTTGACTGTCGGAGGCTCCCAACCCTTGGACCAGCGAAGTGGGATAGAGGCCTAATTATGAAAGCAAGATTGTGAATCGAATAGGAAAATAGTCCTAGGCTCACCTTGTTACGCTAATTTTCATAGTTCATATGTATTCAAAAAGAGGTAGAATAGCGATAGCAAAGTCTAACCAGATTTCTTCACAGAAAACACCGCAAAGTTCGTCGTAACTGACAGCTCTTGAGAATATGCCGACAGGTAAGGCAAGCGCATACCCACAGACCCAAATGGCCACAACGATCGCCACTGCTCGATTGTAGCCGATCATCTAAATTCAAGCAATCCGTTGAGGTACATAAAAAAGGATTATTTCTATAGGAGCTGAGTCAAACAGAAGCGAAATGTCCATAATGTGATTCAGTGGAAACGAAGAACTAACCTCCTTGTTCGGCTTCAGAATCAACAGACATCGATCCAATGCGATGACAGTGAGCGTGAAACTTGACACGAATATGCTGCCTCCCTAAACAGTAAAAAATAAGCCAAATTAAATATTTGCTCTTCATACCTCCCATGTTTGAGGTTTTTTCTCGCTGACGTTGAGTTCAAATGTTGAATTAAGGAAAACCTAATAGGGTGGTAGTTGTAGAGCTCATCGGTTTCACTGTACTCGTCTTGTGATAGGTTGAGACTTTTCCCAAGTGAAATTACTGATGTAATTGAAAAAAAGCCGATGTCGTATAAGGGCTTGTACAGATATTTCCAAGGATTTCTTTCACTGTTTTTTTTTCTTCACCTGACTTGAGATCTTCCATCTTTGTTTTAGACCTATATATTTTACTCCATCCATTTGCTGCGTTGTTTGATCAATGTGATCAAAGAATCGTTGTAGGGCACCTAAGCGTGCACCAAATAAACAAATAAATAAATAAACAAATAAATTTTGAATCAGCGCAGTGTTGGATTGTCCACCAACCTCTGGTTCTCGAACACGCCCCCGTCGGCACAATGGAGCGCTGATAGCTGTATTTGGGATGGGATCGTTATCACCAGACCCCGATCTTTTCATAGTGTAAGATGCCTACAGTTTTCTGGAGGAAAGATGGAGGGAAGTTCTCAGCGCCAAATAGTTTCGGTTGCGCCACGCATTTCACACGAACGCGATCCGGATAAAGTTGGAAGTGGTTTGGCTTCACAAGCTACACCACACACTAGGTTTTCATCTATATAAGCTGGAACACTATTCGAAAACCTTACAAGTATGCGAAGATACTCGGCTTATCTGCGCTGATTTTATAGGGAAATGTGATAGTCTCTGGCGTTTTCTGATTTTTCGTGGCGCTGTACCACCTTGCGTAACCTATTTTTGCCTGGGTACTGAGCATATAATTGAGTAAATGTTAGTCATATCGTACCTACAGTAGGCTTCATTGTAGGTTGGTCGCGCCACTCATCTCTTAAAAAACTATGAGCTCAACGGCTAAATAAAGAACCCTCCAACTAGCGCCACTCCAAGTTTCAACAAACATCCCGACACAATTTGATTAGCCCACTTTGAACAGCTCTAGCATTAGTTCCCAAGTCACTGAAGAACTGACAGTTCAATTGGACCAGTGTTAAATTCCACGAATAGAGAAGTTTCTGCCACAATCCACTGTGGAAAGACTTTTCATACCAGGCCAAATGATGAGTTAGGTGTTACGTTGAGCCTATCGTCCATAAAATTGGATGCGCCGTGCCTGCGGATATTCACTAAAATCCTGAACAACTCGAAAGCATTTTTGGATTTATAGACTGCGCCGGAACGCGACATAAAAAAAGACACATAAAGACCAAGTGCCTGAAATTGTCGCTTCCACATCGCGCATCTTGCTAGAGTCATTCTTCACGAGGCAATTTCAACCGATTAACGCTTTCGAGGAATTGGTTCGACCCGCTTCATGAATTCTTTTACTTCTTTGTTTACTTTTGCCCAGTCAGCAGCTTCATCTTCATGTTCGTACTCCACAACCGCAGTGGACACGGCCGTGCAAAACCTCCTCAAATACAAAGTCTTGGCTTCATTTCAATGGGAACGGAAAGGGCGAAATTCAAAACAGGCATTTAACGCTGGTAAGGACACTAGGATTAAGCCCAAAACAAGAGGAGAACGTCTGATAGAAGAAAGTTGGTGACACGCTCTCCGAATCCCTTCGTCAGTCTCAGTAAGGTCCGTTTTGAGGAGGTTGTTTAGTTCATAAACGGGTTCGGACTGAGCCACAATTTCTTTGTCACCACATTTGTCGAACCCTGTAAGTCTGACGGCGGGAACAGGATAATTTACATCTCCTACTTCAGAATTGATCCCGAACGAGTCTCCCTTTTTATTTAGGAGCGCCAACATGTCAAATGGCGTGTTAGAGCGCCACTCGTTTACCTCGTCAATTTTTTGGTTGTCATGGACAGTCCAGAAACCCAATATTGAGGCCAAAGTCCATGTGAGAAAGAAGAAGCATATCAGTCAACATCACTTTTAAATGAACTTGGCTTAAGGTAAGAAGCAAATTTGCTGGTAAAATATGAGTGAGCCAATCAGGATTCAATGATTTCTAGGCCAGCCACGCATCTTCTTTACGTCCCATTCAAAGAAGACTAGAGGCATTTGAATGCGGATTTGACCCATGAAAATGACATGCAGGGGGAAAAGAATCGGGTCCGAGATGGTGGATATCCGGACGCATCACGATGCAAAAATCCAGGATTCAGATTACAAGTTGAGTGTATGGCACACTCCAAAAAGACCCGAATACTTAAAGATTTCACGTTCTGCCCTTATACAGCCCCAATGCTATCTGCGATGCTTTAAAGGCAAACCCGGGATGGAAATAGTGAATATAAGCTCTGAGCAGTGAAAGGCTGAACTACAGTTCACTGAAAGTGAAAGTGACAAGGGAAGTCATAGCAACGCCCTTAATTTATCAGCAATGGTCAGCATGTGTACGAGACGGGACAGGGCGATCAACGGAAGAACACAAACAACACGCAGGAGAGAAAAACACCCACGATAAGAACCGCAGAGCACGCTGATCTTTCTAAGTCAAAATCAATAGCGTGGGTGGGAAGCGTTGCAGCGAGGGTCCTGGTTGCAGGTTCGTAATGGATTAGCGCCCTAATCGCGCAATTTGGGCAACGAAGCTGGCACGATCTATGAAGGCACAGACCCCACAATTTCCCTTGCGGTATCCTTCCTACTAGTCGGGCCTAATCCCGGGTTTAACCTTTCCTGAGGGCGAAATCTATGCATATTTCAATTTTTCTCTGTGTTCTTGAAAAATGACAGTCGTCATTTATCGTGTCGGCCTTTCCTGTTCAGAAATTATTTGAGGTCCCATATTCCCCAATGAATAAATCTCACTCGTTCACGAATTCCGTTCAGAAATGGTGCTTTTTGCTAGAGAGGACATTTTGTTGAAAAAAGATTGATGATAGCGAAAAGCACCCACTTGGGCATGGAACAATTGTGCCCCGTTGAAATCACGACTGAGATGTGCACGCTAACTATTTACATTTTCACAAGAAAACCAGAATTTTCTCATTTCTTCACTCTTCTCATTCCATAACGGCGGTGATCACGATACGACTCATTATATGGAAGGTATTCTCAATATGATGAGAATTTTAAAAAAAGGAGGAGAAAAGCACACATAAATTTCGTTTGGAATACGTGCCGCGAAACGAAGAGAACTTAAAAAATAAGTATAAATATATAAAGAAATTAAGAATAAGAGAATGAGAAATGAAAAAATAGAAGAAAGATATGATACTGAATTGAAATAGTAATGAGAAATTTTTGAAGTTCTGAATTTGTAATGTTTCATGGAAGTTTCGATGTTAGTTAGCAAAGAATTTTCAGCAGAAAATATTAACGGAAGAATTCGTCCTGGTCCGCGGAGATTTGGCAAGCTGCCAAAAAAGCTCGAAAACCTACTCGCGCAGTGGTTTTTAACCACGCTCTGCAACTTTCCGTCAATTGTGTGACAGTTTCTTTTTGGTGGGCGGAAAAACAGTACGGAAGAATTCAGTACGGAATTTCTGTCTTTAATAGCATCGTAGCTAAACAAGAATCTCCTTTGTTATCAGTTGTCTACGACCATCACATACTAGTAGTGTTAGCTTCAGCATTTCCAGTAGGGCGCCTATTCGTCCTCAATCTCGGTCTCAGTTTTCTGCAGCTTCAATAGTCGTAGAGTAACTGTGTCAGATCTGATTTCGCTTTTACACAAATGGAACACTTCCCCACTCCCATATTAAAAAGGGTGCTCTAATGGGAGTTTCCGCCCTACGGCTATTTCAGGAGAAGACTGGCCAGTCCTTTCAGGATTCCTTCTCCCTTCGCCTTCCGTTTGCTCCTCAGTTTTCAATGTTGATTCTAGACCATTGAGACCACGGTGTGCAAAGGGATCTGACGTGGTTAGGGGGGAACCACGCGGCTTCGTGGCGGTCTGCTCGTCTGAACCTATAAGGCCTAATCATAGAGGTCGTTACTATTTCGCCGAAGCGTAGCAGTATCCAAATACGGTGGCACCGCAGCCTAAGCCTCAGAGGTGCAGACAAACAGAGCGCCACACCGCCGCGTGGTCACCCCACCCAACTAGTAGCCCCTATGGAAAGATGTTTATATTAGGTCGTGAAGAAAGTTCTTGCGCTTTTCGACCTTGATTTTCAAATGCCTGTATCTCGGCTCATTCGAAACCTTTTTGATTGGAGTAAAGACTGTTAGAATCCACAAACCTCTGCCAATAATAGCTGCGTTGAATCAGCCCGGTAGTGCAGAATACTGGAGCTCTAGAGACGATGAACCCGGCGGAGGTCGTTTCCGCATCATGTTGGTTTTTGAAGCATAACTCTTTGGAGAAGCTATCCAGGTAGTCGAGAAAGTGACAAATTATAGGCAAAAGGTCTACCGAGTAGGATGTTCGCAGGACTAATTCGTAGCCAATCTTGTCCAACTTCTGCAGGGTTGGTTGTGGAATGTGCGTCCGAGCTACCTGTCAGGGACGAGCCGGTTCCTTTATAATGAGGAATTTCGAGCATATGTGCCAGAGTTCTAGGAGTAGTTTGACACATTATCAGGAGTACTTTTCCACATTAACAGATCCACCTGGTTACGAAAAGCTAGACCAGCCGCTGACCTTATGAAAGTCACCTCAACCTTCCTTCAGTGAAGTTTCACTTTTGCAAAGTTTGTAGAGCCTGATCGCGGTCGATCACTTCACCAAAGGTTCGTATTCTGTAGCAAAGAATCCGCTCTTCATCGTGCGTCGCAAATATTGAAAAATCAGGTCGTTTTCATGGCATAGAACGAGTTCAAAAATGGTGCGTTGTCGCGGCACGCCCTATTTGAATTTTTTGGACTTTCCAGCTCTTCCCGTACAACAAGAAAACACAATGCAAGTGCGATTAGTTTAGGAGGAACCCTCTCAATAGATTTGTGCAAACGTGCTTCAACCAGAACGTTCGACTAATCGTTGGCGTTGTCCAATCTCCGATCACCACCCTCACAATCTTTAGGGCTCTCGCTATTCTTACAAAAGCTTTTTGAACAATTGCTTCAGACCATATTTATTGCGAATCTCAGCCAAGTGCGTCTATAATATCTTGACCTGCTTCCTCTCCATACTGGCCTGCTTTGAGCTAGAAAAAGGAAATCATGCAAATTTGCTCTTGGAGTATGCCGTATTCAAGGCTTCAAAAAATGACAACTAAATAATAAGGAACATAGCTAGCCTAGCTGTTAGATAGAACAAGAAAAGCTCTTCAAAACCACATACAGCTCATTGGCAAAGCGTTCAAAAACGAAACACCGAAAAGCGCAAGAACTTTCTTCACGACCTAATAGTTAACACGTTGGAGACCGCGCATGTTTTACGTTTTGCGGCCGCGTGGGACTTCAGTGAAATTTTTAGGAATCTTATCAAGCAAATTGGAAAGAAAAACCTACTGTATGATGCAGAAGAAACCTTATCGAATGAAATGGAAAGAAAAACAAGAAAAAACTCAATTGTTTCCAAAATGTGAGCTGTAAGATCTACGCGGTCGAGGGCTCCAAGGGGTTAGGAGGGCTCGTACACAACATGTTGTTAAAAATGCCTAGCAGAACATACCTGGAATACACCAATCAGCTTGCAGATCGGTGCAGGAAATATCCATTCTCTGGTGAAAATGGTGACCGCTGTCCATGGAAGAGAAGTGAGCGACATCAACATATCGGACACGGCCAAACATCCGATGAACACGCTACGTACTGATAGTGACACCTGAACAAAATGGTTAATTCAGGATAGGGGTGAACAAAGTACTAAAGCGATCCGTCTACCTCTATCTTTACGGGAACCTTTTAGAAAAAATAATTTAAAGTTTGCGGCCAACGCATTCTATTCATTATTCAGAATCGTAGTAGAACTATTGAATGGTAATTCGAATTCGCCTTACAACAGTTGGCTGGGGAGCCGAGGAAGCCACTTATTGGTTTTACCCTCGGTTTGGTACCATTCAGCCCGACCCCAAAAGAATGGAATGCGGGGTTGGTTCGGATGGTGTACGCCAGGATCTGATCCCCTACCCCACGCCCATGGTAAGTGGCGCCCCCTCCCACTGCACCACTTTCGCCCAAAAGCGTTATGAAGGCGGGAAACTGTTGAATACCCTTGGCATAGTCTCCATGTTTGACTATCCATAAATCTTGGCATTTTGTACACTGGTAAGGTTGCTTTTGTAGCCGACCGTTCCTTGACGGGCGGGCATTCGACCGCCTACGGCTTCATGTCGGGGGTCAGGTCACCTGGAGCCACCCATTGTCGGTCAGAATAGCGGTGGTCTAAGCAATAACCTGTCGTGTAATTAGAGGTGAGTCTAACGAGTGCTTGTGTCTTGCCCCTCCTATCTAGATGCCGTATGGTCTAGACGACGATTGCTCCGAAAGTTCAATAATTGCTGTTTGGAGGGCTAGTTCGCACTTTATCTTCGACTATTCAGGCACTCGACGACGGCGACCACGTCGCCGATTCATATTCATCTCTGGCGTAGGCTACAGAAGCAACCCTACCCTTTGGCAAATTTTTGAGCAGATTGAAAACATGGCGCATTCCGAAAGACCAGATAGTTAACCTTTCTCTTTATTGATGTTGTTTTCCACTGTTTGGATTCCACTTGTTTACAAAACGTGACATTGGAATGAAGCAGGTGTGTTTTTGATTCGGAGTAAAGCCGACATGAGAGCAGCACAAAGAAACACGATCTATCTCTTGGTTGCAATTAGACACTCAACACTGCAGTATCAGTAAGAGTAAGGACACATCAGCGAGAAAATCTTACTAATTTTGTAATCTTTGACCTCTTGACATGATAGATCTTCCTTTGATCCTGACAGAAAATGAAAAATGAAAAAGGGAAAAGGGAAAATTATGGTGGAAATCAAGCTACGATTATCTCTGACCCGAAGATTTTAAGTTACGAAAAAAAGAGAGCGAGGTACGCAATAGTGATCCTTGCTGCTGGGATGCGCCATGAATTCTTTTTAATCTAAATCAACAAATATATTGTATGCTATACGAAAAGCGGCGCGCGTTAGATGCTAGGAGACGAAAAGGATCTGGGATGACAGAATGTGGTTTTGGGACGCGCACACGCCATCCTAACGTCTCATCAGGAATCGTTACGTGGCTGTGTTGAGTGGTGGCCGGCCCCTTTCACAAGTGATTTGGAGGCGCGGATATCAGTTTTAAACCCAAAACAAGTCAGTGTTTTTATCCTCCCAGACAAGTCTGGTACCAATTAACCGACCCCGGAGGGATGGAAGGCTTGGTTGGCCCGGGCGACTCACGACTCCAGGATTTGATCCCCGTACCGCTCGCGTGATAAGCGCGTCCACTTGCCACTACACTACTTCCGCTCCCACTACTGAACAAATACTGCTCAAAATGTGGATACATATTTCTATGCAGCCTTCTTTTACACATCTGGGTTATAGATAAGATTTATTTAGCAACAAAAAAGTCTCACCTGATTGAACGAGACCACGTAGAGAACAAGTGTGTTACCGACGATGGCTGCTACCCATACCAAGCAGTAAAGCACGCAAAACACGACCCGAACCGCTGTCAGGTCAATTGTCTCGAACATACTGTCTTGTATACTAGTACAGTTCGACATATCTGTAACATTTCGACTGTTAGAGGAGTGAATGCCAAAGTTCAACGGTACGATTGACAGCGAGTTACGGTAGCGACAGAGGTACACGAAAACTGGTGTTCGGAAAAAATGAGGATTCTGAGCATCAGTGTAATAATGTAAAGGATTTGGTTATCAAGGGCTGGTGCTCATTTTCTTAGGGGAACATTCAAAACATGACCGATGGTAGATGAAACTAGACTAAGCCCAGGAGAGGAGAGGGAACGCCAGGGAGAAGACAGATTGCCATCCTCCACAGTATCCCTTGGGCATAATCACAAGTACAGTAAATAGCTCATTTATGCCCCCTCCCCCACCAAGGAGATAAGCGCCCAAAGGGCTTCCTCATCAATCGACCACTTTGTTCAGCACGATACCATTTAAACACAATCCGACATCGGTGGAAATAGCCAGGTCACGGCGCGACGTCGCAAATTTCGCAGCGCAACGCGTGCGACACAGTTGGGACATCATACAAATGTGCGCCACGCTGCGACATGGTGGCTAATCATAACAACGCTACTCGTTACCGTGAGCAGGAAGCGGCATAGCTCCGTCCTCCACATCTTCTGATACCTAGCGAGTTTAGGGCCGAGTCTTCTGTATAACTTCTATGTGAATCCAGATAGAATTTCTATTAACGAGAAAACCAGCTAGCCGATTGGCCCAACGTGGGGTGGAACCAGGGTCAACCGTCACGTTCGAACATTTTCGGGATTTTTGCGACCCCCTCCCTCTCGAGGGGGTCCAGTTGCGACCCCTCCCAACACACAGTTGCGACCCCCCAATACAACCAGCCTTCCTCCACCGCGACCTCTCCCTCTTCTATAGTATTTGATTCTGAGACCAGTTGACACAGCCCAAAACCTACCTAAAACTCCGAAACTCCGCCTACTTTTTCCCCAAAAATAGCCGTCGAGCGGGGGGGGTATATACAACCAGTGAAACGGCAACTTTTTGCGACCCCTCTCCCCTCCCAGAACACAAATGCGACCCCCGTTCGAACAGTTCGAACAGACGGTTGACCCTGGGTGGAACTGTTATTGGAGCCCTGCCAGGGTGCTCAGTGATCTTTTTCCTGTTTTACGGTAACAAACACAAAGACAAACAAAGCATGATGTCAACTTTCTTTTTCTGCCATCGCAGTAGAATGGCGGAATTCCGGGCGGCGAGAATTGTATTTGGGAGGGAAAATTGTGCAGTTTGTGGCTATGGTAGGTCATTAGGGAAATTATGTAGATTCGAACGTTTCGACAAATGAGCTTACCAACCAATAGCAACGAACTTACTTTTTGAGATAGGCTGGCTTTTTAAAAAAGAAACAGCATGGAGAAAACGAATAGAGTTGTTCTTGTTTCCGACCACAAAACCATCAATTAGCAAGCGCGAAAGGGCGGGGTCCAAATTGGTGATTGATGGTGGGTACAAGGTTCAGGCAGGAGGGTGAAGAATTATGTCTCAGCACGGAGCATTAAGTAATCCGACAGTTAGCATAAGACTAATTTCCAACAATTATTGGATTCAGAGGCCCGAAGATGATGTAGTGGCTCTAGTGTTGCCGCTTACAAAATGCCCCATCTGGCACGTCTAAAATACACTGTGCAAAACTTAAGGACGAGACAGATGAAGTATCATAACCTTTTGATAGCTTTGTGGACCGTTTAACGGTTCCTGTTAACTGCTTTCTTTAGTGCCCTGTGGCAGCTCTTTGTATGTGTGGTTAGGTTCCATAGAGTCATGTTACGCGCCAGTAACACGTCGTTGGAAAAGCTACGTTCGTCCCTAAGTTTTGCACACCAGTGTATGGATCCGATTCCGCCCCAGGTACGCAAGCGTTCCGTGCCTCCGGTGTCGGGTAATTGGAGTCAGACCTGGCTGGGAGGGTAAGCACACTGGTCGCATGGTCAGTTTTGAGAACCAATTTACGTTCAAACACAACTCCTAAGCAAAGGTAAACAGTAAAATGTGTGGCGCATTCCAAGAACAGAATGAACAGCACCGGCAGCTTCATCATCGCTCTATTCTTTACACTGAAGCCATGATAGGAGTAGTTTCGAGCAGAGTATGCTCCGCTCTCATCAGCGTTGGCCATTTGGGACACACTCCATCCCTCCTTCACGTAACTCCATTGACCTATACACAACACTGGAAAATGGAGGGCAGTAATATATAGCCGGGAAACGGCTGGTTCGACCGTACTGTCGGTGATGCCGAGGGTTCTACCTAGGCCCACAGATTTTACAGCACCGTCAAGGAACGTGGGCGGAAGTGGTGTAGTGGCAAGTGGCACGCTTACCACGCGAGCGGTCCGGGGATCAAATCCTGGGTCGTGAGTCGCCCGGGCCAACCAAGCCTTCCATCCCTCCGGGGTCGGTACCAGACTCTGGGAGGATAAAAACACTGACTTGTACATCGGCTGGCCCCCGCAAGTCATTGTATAGGCCACATCGCATTCAAACGCCACTGCGAATGTACAAATGTAGAATGCGTGCCGCATCCCAAAAGGGATTGATCAACGGCAAATGCTTTATCCTTTATCAAGGAATGTGCCTGGAACCCCCTTTTCCCCTTGCAACAGCAGAGTGACCCCGAAGCCAATAGGGTTATCCCAAAGTGAGTGCGGGTTTTGGGACCGCGGTGTGTAAGGTTACATCGTCAGGGAAGTACTACAAGTATACCTATAGGAGCGAAGATGTTTTGGGAATCTGCACAAGGGAAAGGGGTGGTTCTGCGTTTCATGCACAATAGCTTGATTGGCCAGCAATCAAGACATACAGTAGAGGTCAGGAGTGTTCGCTGGAACCTTTTACCTACATAATTACATCATTTTCTCTTTATAAAGTCTTGAAGAAACTGTATATTTAAATTTCATAAGCTCAACTCCTGGAACTCAAGGATTCAAAGAGACGAAGACATGGCATGTCAATAGTAAAGGGAACTATAAACATTGCACAAAAAACAGTTCCAGGCGACTTTTGGTAGTTACTGTATGTGTTTGGGCTTGGCACCTAATCGTTTGAAAGCAAGACAGAGCAGGTTTCAGGTTACCAATAGGGTAGGAGTTCTTAGGTTACTTCTGGAATGAAAATGACCTCACAGTGATCGCCAGCATTTCAC